CTAGCTCTACTCCCACGCACCCCCCCTTAAACCCTAAACCCTAGTCTCCCACACAACCACCCCCCTCAGCGACAGCTGCAGCAGTGGGAGACGAAGGAGGAGGAGGAGCAAGGGAGGAAGGCACACCGGCCACCCCCATACCCGCCGCGACGCAGGGCGGGGCCGCGACGTAGGGCGGGGCCGCGTCGAGGGGCGGGGCCGCGACGGTCGGGGCGGGGCCGTGACATAGGGCGGGGCCGCTTCGAGGGGCGGGGCCTCGACGCAGGGCGGGGCCGCGACGTAGGGCGGGGCCGCGTCGAGGGGCGGGGCCGCGACGGTCGGGGCTGCTTCGAGGGGCTGGGCCGCGACGCAGGGCGGGGCCGCGACGTAGGGCAGAAGCCCGCCGCGCGCCTCGGGGCGCACAGCGGGCAAAGAACCGCCGCGCGCCTCGGGGCGCACGGCGGGCAGAAAACCGCCGCGCGCCTCGGGGCGCACGGCGGGAGGAAAAAGTAACAGCGGAAGCGAGGTGGTAACCCACCCACAGGAGCGATCCAAGGGGATCGACCTGCTCTGATTCCATGACAAAAGTTAGAAGAAAGAAAGAGGAATGAACTAGCATAAATGGGGATACAAATAGCAAACCCTAGAAGGGTTGTACTCGCTATAGAGCACCCCACTACAGGCTAGAACATAAGAATAATATTCTGACATGCTGCGTGTGCCCTAGTTCCTGAGCTCGTCGACTTTGCTGCTCGCTGTCGTCTAGACTCCGCTGCTAGTCTTGTTGCTGAGTCTACGTCTGTCTGTCCTCCGTCTGTCGGGGGTGAGTGTGCCCTTCGCATGGACGTCCTTGAGGAGAGGCAGGAGGAGTTCCAGTGTTTGGCTGCTGCTTCACCTCATCTCGTGTCCGTACTGCTTACCTCTGAGGGAGACCCGGATGCACTTGACATCTCAACTCCGCGCTATTACGCGGAGGCAATAGAGGGTCCCTACTCCTCTAAGTGGCAGGCAGCTATGGACGCAGAGATGGCTTCCAGGAAGTCCACAGGCACATACGTTGACGCGGTTCCCCCTCCTGGGGCGAACATCGTCAATGGCATGTGGATTTTCGGGGTGAAGCGGCCGCCGGGTTCTCCGCCTGTCTTCGAGGCGCGGTACGTGGCTCGTGGCTTCAGTCAGCAGCAGGGAGTTGACTACTTTCAGACCTTCTCTCCCACCCCGAAGATGACCACTCTTCAGTTGCTACTGCACATAGCCACTCAGCGCGACTACGAGCTTCACTCTCTTGACTTCAGCACTACTTTCTTGCAGGATAGCCCGCACGAGGAGATCTGGCTACGCCGCCCACCTGGCTTCACTGGGACTTTTCCTCTTGGCACCCAGTCGAGCCTCCGGCGGCCAGTCTACGGTCTCCGCCAGGCACCGCGTGAGTGGCACGACACACTGAGGACTACGCTTGCGGCTCTTGGGTTTTCTCCCTCTACTGCCGGCCCGTCGCTGTTTCTGCGCACCGACACTTCTTTGCCGCCGTTCTACATCCTCACGTATGTCGACGACTTGGTCTTTGCCACAGCTGACACTGCTGGACTCGCCCACATGAAGTCCGAGCTGCAGAAGAGACACACGTGCACAGACCTGGGTGAACTGCGCAGCTACCTTGGCTTGCAGATCACCCGGGACAGAGCACGCTGCACCATTACCCTCACTTAGTCACACATGGTGCAGCAGGTCCTTCAGCGCTTCGGCTTCACGTACTCCTCGCCTCAGGCCACTCCTCTGCCTACTCGCCACTCGCTCTCAGCTCTGCCTTCGGATGAGTTCGTAGAGTCGAGTGGCCCGTACCCATAGCTTGTTGGCTGCCTCATGTACCTGATGACCTGCACACGACCTGACCTTGCATACCCTCTTAGCATTCTTGCACGCTATGTTGCTCCTAGGAGACACACACCAGAGCACATGGCTGCAGCGAAGAGGGTGTTGCGCTACGTGTCCCGTACGTCGGGCATGGGGCTAGTGCTTGGAGGGCAGAGTCCAGTGGTCCTCACTGGGCACGCGGACGCTTCTTGGGCAGACGACCAGGCTACGCAGCGGTCGTCACAGGATTACACCTTTAGCCTTGGTTCCGGCTCTGTTTCATGGCGGTCTACCCGCTCGTCTTGTGTTCTTGGCTCTCGTTGTGAGGCTGAGATCTACGCCGGGGCCATGCCTGCACAGGAGCTTCGCTGGCTCACCTACCTGCTGACTGACCTTGGAGAGCCGCCTCGTTCTCCTCTAGTGCTGTACGTAGACAACAAGGCCATGCTAGCCTTGTGTCGAGAGCAGAGACTGGAGCACAGAACGAAGCAGATTGCTCTTGGCTACTTCCTTGCTCGTGAGCTACAACTGTGTGGTCAGCTACGTCTTCCGTACGTGGCCTCTGAGGCCAACACTGCTGATATCTTCACCAAGGCACTTGCGCCTTGTGATCATCAGCGCTTCTGTACTCAGCTAGGTCTTGTGCCTGCCTTACCTCACTTGCTCACCTCTTGACCTTGCTTGTACTGCTACATATATACATACGCCTGCTCTTGCTTGTCTAGCCTTTTATATATATGTGTACTCCTGCATGTGAACTGGCCTTGTGGCCTTCACCTTGTGCTCGGAATGTGTGGTGATGTTGTGATCCACCCTGAGCTCGGTTTGTATTTGTACCCAACTTTCACTTAGTCATTTTCATTCCTCGTTCTAGTTTTGTCACATAAAGTAAAGGCAGGCAAGCATAGCTAGCATAAGCTGTCATACTCTCACATAACATCCATGGACGGCAACTGGGATTGCGACTGTACCGGGTTTGTTAGATGTATCCCGAAACCAAAGTGGGCAAAGTAGCTGATGAATTACACATGGAAGCTACATTGATTATTCTCGAGGGCCACTGTACTAGGTGTCGACTATGCAGCTCAGTGCACCAAATGTAGTACGATTACCATCTGCTAAAATCCGGCAAAAATCATCCTACTGTGTGGTAAACACCTCCCGCAGGCCTGTCGGATCCATACTTCTGGGTGCAGGTAGCTGAGTTGTGGTTAGGCCCCAAGCAGGTTGTGTAGCGATAGTTCGCCGGAAGAGCATCCCTGCGCCTGTAGGAAGGGGGATGGCGAGGACCCCTACGAGTGAATGTAGGCGTGTCAGACACTCCCTGAGGCACAGGTGTTGTCTATGCCATCAGGGTGACGATGCCGGTCCCGGGAATGGTGTGGGAGTATGTGCGGCGGAGGTTGATGTCAGAATCCCAACCTCTAGACCATTGGGATTAAAGGGCTTGTTTCAGTAGCGGGTCAGTGCGCCCATAACCCCGAAGGCGAACGCGCCTCTAACCCTCTCCAGGATCAATCGGGCATCCACAGTGCAGATCTACTGACACCCCCCCATACTGGGAGGCCCATGACCAAGCACGGCGGCAACGGCCTACATGTGCATACACCGGGAATCGAACCCGAGATCGCTCTGATACCATGTCAGAATCCCAACCTCTAGACCATTGGGATAAAAGGGCTTGTTTCAGTAGCGGGTCAGAGCGCCCATAACCCCCCAGGCGAACGCACCTGTAACCCTCTCCAGGATCAATCGGGCATCCACAATGCAGATCTACTGACAGTTGACTGTGGTGTAGTAGTCGCTGACATACTCCCACCCGTTCTTGTTTGCCCAGGGGAAAAACGCCATGGCATGTGCGCACGGAAAATCGTACTCTTTCCAATTGCCGCACTCACAGCTACCCTCGCCACATAGGTCGACGTTGTAGCTGCGTGGGGTTGGGTCCGTCGCGTTGCCGTTGTTTATCACCTCCGCGAAGAACTCGATGTTGGAGATTTTCACCTCGTAGTTCTTTCCCCGCTCGCACTTCTCCTCATACCGTTTTCTCCCCCACTCCGTAAAGTAGTCATCCCGGGCTCTAGCCTCCTCACGCCTCTCATGAAACTTCTTGACGTTGTAGTCCCACATTGATGCTAACAGATACGCGGAGGGCAGGCGCCGGATGGATTTTACGGCCCCGTTGGTCAACTCCGCCATGTTGCTCGTGTAGATGCCGAATCTTCTCGTTGGTGTCACACATCGAGCCCACTGCTTCTCGTACACCCAGATTCTGTTCCTGCGTGCAGTGTAATCACAGCGAAGGCTTTTTCAGACCCGCACCATCCTCACCGTCCTCTAGGGAGTCCTCTTCCACGACGGTCGCCTCATCTTCTACAACGCTAGGCCTCTCCTCGTTGGTGTTCCCAAGCGCCGTTCCCGGGTCCACGGTGGGAGGAGGAGGGTCACGGGTTGCTGCCGCGGTCGGTGGTGGCTGGCGGGTGGGTGCCCTGGTCGGTGGTGGCTCTCGGTTTGGTGCCTCAGTTGGTGGGGTGACTCCCGGGACCGCAGCTCTCAGAACAAAGTTGCAAAAGCTAAAGCACGCAGCTGTTCCTCGCCATCCGCTACGCATGACTATTGGTAAGGATCGTCGAAGTGGAGGTGGCTCCGGTTGGGAATAGGATGGTGCGGTTGTTCCTGCAAAATGGGCTGCAATAGGGACACGGAAACGGAAATTCTGGCTGTGCGTTTTACAGTACCAAATGAGCAGTACCCTATCACTTTAAGACGGCCTCTCATGTATGAGACCTTAACACAAATATGTAGAGATTACATCGTGGATGTAGTCGTTACTACCACACATATCATGGTACTAACGAACGGAGGGGCGCATTGACAAACCGTTGTTCAAACGAACCTGTTGCAGCAGATGGGTCGTACGGATTGGATGGTGACGGCGTTGCGGATGATGCGAGTGCCCCGGATGTGCGTGTAGCTGAATTGGGTGACAGTGCTGTGGACGCGCGGGGCGCAGCAGACGGCCCTAGCGCTGTAGATGGGCTGGGCGCTATGGACGATGCATGTGCAGCGGCTGGGCGGGTCGTAGCAGCAGGCGACGGTGCTGTGGACGGGCGGGGCGCTGCGGACGGCCCTAGCGCTGCAAATGGCCTGGGCGCTGCGGACGTTGCATGTGCAGCGGCTGGGCGGGTCGCAGCAGCGGGCGACGGTGCTGTGGACGGGCGGGGTGGTGGGAGGACGGCTCTGGCGCAGCAGATGGGCTGGGCGTTGTGGACGATGCAAGTGTAGCCGCTGGGTGGGTCGCAGCAGCGGCCGACGGTGCTGTGGACGGGCCGGGCGTTGCGGACGGCCCTGGCGCTGCAGATGGGCTGGGCGCTGCGGACGACGCATGTGTAGCAGCCGGGTGGGTCGCAGCAGCGGCCGACGGTGCTGTGGACGGGCGGGGCGCTGCGGACGGCCCTGGCGCTGCAGATGGGCTGGGCGCCGCGGACGATGCATGTGCAGCGGCTTGGCGGATCACAGCAGCGGCCGACGGTGCTGTGGACAGGCGGGGCTGTGCGCACGGCCTTGGCGCTGCGGACGATGCATGTGCAGCAGCTGAGCGGGTCGCAGCAGCGGGCAACGGTGCTGTGGACGGGTGGGGTGCTGCGGACGGCCCTGGCGCTGCAGATGGGCTGGGCGCTGCGGACGATGCATGTGCAGCGGCTGGGCGGGTCGCAGCAGCGGGCGACGGTGCTGTGGACGGGCGGGGCGCTGCGGACGGCCCTGGTGCTGCAGATGGGCTGGGTGCTACAGACAATGCATGTGCAGCGGCTTTGCGGGTCGTAGCAGCGGGCGACGGTGCTGTGGACGGGCGGGGCGCTGCTGAATGCCCCGCCGCTGCAGCATTCGGAGGTGGGCGTCCTGCGCTGCCCTGTCTGTGTCAGCGGCCGGGTCACTGCGACTGTGCTTGGCGAGCACGCCGCCGTGCTTCGGCCGCAATGTTCTTGGCGGTCGCACGCGTCTGGCGTGTTTGCTGAACGTTGCGTCGGCAAATACGAAGGCCAGCTGGTGGAGTGGATGGTGACGGCGTTGCGGATGATGCGAGTGCCCCGGATATGCGTGTAGCTGAATTGGGTGACAGTGCTGTGGACGCGCGGGGCGCGGCGGATGGCCCCAGCGCTTCTGATGGGCTGGGCGCTACGGACGATGCATGTGCAGCAGCTGGGCGGGTCGCAGCAGCAGGCGACGGTGCTGTGGACGGGCGGGGCGCTGCGGACGGCCCTGGCCCAGGGCACGATGCATGTGTAGCAGCTGGGTGGGTCGCAGCAGCGGCCGACGGTGCTGTGGACGGGCGGGGCGCTGCGGACGGCCCTGGCGCTGCAGATGGGCTGGGCGCCGCGAACGTTGCATGTGCAGTGGCTTGGCGAGTCGCAGCAGCGGCCGACGGTGCTGTGGACAGGCGGGGCGGTGCGGACGGCCCTGGCGCTGCGGATGATGCATGTGCAGCGGCTGGGCGGGTCGCAGCAGCGGGCGACGGTGCTGTGGACGGGTGGGGTGCTGCGGACGGCCCTGGCGCTGCAGATGGGCTGGGCGCTGCGGACGATGCATGTGCAGCGGCTGGGCGGGTCGCAACTGCGGGCGACGGTGCTGTGGACGGGCGGGGCGCTGCGGACGGCCCTGGCGCTGCAGATGGGCTGGGCGCTAAAGACGATGCATGTGCAGCGGCTTTGCGAGTCGTAGCAGCGGGCGACGGTGTTGTGGACGGGCGGGGCGCTGCTGAATGCGCCGCCGCTGCGGCATTCGGAGGTGGGCGTCCTGCGCCGCCCTGTCTCTGTTAGCGGCCGCGTCGCTGCGAGTGTGCTTGGCGAGCACGCCGCCTGCTTCGGCCGCAATGTTCTTGGCGGTCGCACGCGTCCGGCGTGTTTGCTGAACGTTGCGTTGGCGAATACGAAGGCCAGCTGGTGGAGTGGGGTTTGGCCCCGCCCGGCCACTGGCGCTGCACCGTAGAGGTAAGTCGTGAGCAGGGGATGGGATTCCCCTGCACCGACCTTGAGCTCGTTGTACTTGCTCAAAGACCGGGCTGTCCAAAGCCGCCATAACATGTCTGCGGAAGTCTTCCCGAACCGCTTCACGTTTTGCTGTATGTGCCACCCACAGAAGTTGTGCGCCACCTTCTCAGGGAACACTTCCTTCACTGCCGGGATGAGACCGTTGTCCCGGTCGCTGATGATAGCCGCGTCGTCCCGTCTCTTCCAGTCGGAGCAGTGCTTATCAAAGAGCCGGCAAAACAAAGTCCATGTGTCCTTGGTTTCGCTCTCTACGAGCGCCCACGCGATCGGGATGATTTGTTGATTGCCGTCCATCGCGTTGGCGTACAGCAGAGTAGCCTTCCGAGCACGGATAAGGAAAGTCCCCTCCAGTGCAATGATAGGCCTGCACGTCTTCAGTGCTTTACGTTTTGCACTCGACGCCATGAAGAAGCGGAGAAATTCGTGGCTGTAAGTCAAAAGCTCCACGGTTGCTCCGCTGTCGATCTGCCGAATGGGCTCTTGCACCGCCGAAATGTAGCGGAATGACTCGCACCAGTCGCCGAATCGCTGCGCCGTGATGCCTACCTTCAGCCTGCGTGGGTGGAATGTATGGGTGGTATCGGGAAATGAGTGAAGTGGAGGCAACACAGATGCTGGAAGAAAAGCTCCCTTGATGTTTGGCCTATGACGGGTGTACGCTCACCGGTACGCGTTGTTGTAAGTTAACTTCGGACCAGAGCATGCCGTAATCTGCCTGGCGTAGTCCCAAGGGGCGTTGAATGGCGCTGCACGGACGAAGTTGCCGAATTTCCGCCAAAGGTACTTCCTCTTACGTCCCATTCCGGGCCAAAACCAGGTCCGGTAGACACGGTCGCATGTGTGCTCTGCGGGATCGGACAGCTCTACGATTTGCCACGGTCCGTTCCGCTCGAGACGAGCCTAGCTGCAGCGCCATGGACAAGGGGGGTCCAACCCTAGCCTCTGACTCTTGCACAACGCTAGCGCCGATGCTTTTCTGGTAGACTTCATGTGGAAACCGTATTTATGCACTACCGCATCATCAAGCAAGGCAAAGAGGGAATGATCCTGCGAGGAGTACCAGTTACCCTCCTGAATGGCAGCGTTGTCATTGATAGTAGGCCCCTCCTCGGGTTCAAACTCTATGTCGAACTGCTCCAGGATAATGTTATACATGTCACGGCCATTAGCCGGAGGTTCCTCCATTGTGGATCTGATACAACACCTAGGTTATCCACGCGCCAATTTGTAGATGATCATCCGCTGCCCGGGTTTTTTAACGGCGAGACGCGAGCACATGATTACGCCATGTAGAACTGCATCTGGTGTTGGAGTATGATGGACTCAGAATCCCTGACACTTCGTACAACAGCTAGGAACAACAACAATTCACTTGTCAGTCCCAGGTGGCATAATCCTGGCAGTGGGTTCCACCGGTGCGTATATATGAATTGTGGCATGTAAAACCCGATCGTTTATACCCAATCAAACCCAGACGAGTGGCATGTATATGTAAAAGTGGCGCGATGATTGGAAATATGAACGGACCGTTCAGAAACTCGCGAATCCGCCGCCAACACAACGATTCGCATGCATTCTTGCATGACGTGTCTGTCGTAAGTCCTCGCACGTGGAAGCTAGTTCAGAACGACAGAACTAAACCGAGTCGTCCGACAGATGAAGTTGTGTAGTGCAAGTTCACGGTAACGTCTCTGTAGATGCGCCTGGCACGCACGAAAGAATGGTTAAAACACTAGCCAGTGTTGTGTCGCCACGTTCAACCCCACAAGCCTCCATTCCTCCACTCTTGTGAATCGAGACTGACTGCCGAACCTGGACGCGCCACACGTTCGCCGAACCGACTTCCACACTGTCAGGAGAGAAATGCCCAATAAGATGATACTGCGTGGCAGGGACGTTTGATGTCAACCAGCGAACTCCCCACCGACAAATTGGAACCCACAAAAAAAAAAACCCTCATAATGTCAAACTTATATGCTGTAGTTTGTGTCGGCTATAGTGGGGTAGACAATATGGGGTACAACACCGCTAGGTTTTCCTACTTGTACCCACCTGCCTGCTAGTTCATTCATTTCCTCATTTCTTGACATGGTATAGAGCAGGTTCCCTAGTGGGAACACTTCCTTGGGCCCGCCACTGAAACTTTTTTTTCCAACTAGAGCGACAGTCGCTCCTGCCTGAGGCATGCCTTGTGGGCTGCCCTTCTGTCGACCTCTGTTAGAGGCCCCTCTCACGGCCCCTCGCGCCATCCTCAGCGGCCCCGTCGCCGCCCCTAGCGGCCCCGTAGCCGCCCTTCTAGTCCCCTCGCGGCCCCTAGCGGCCCCGTAGCCGCCCCTAGCGGCCCCGTCGCCGCTCACCTCCCTACGCGGCCCTGTTGCCGCCCCTACGCGGCCCCGTCGCCACCCCTAGTGGCCCCGTCGCCGAACCTAGCGGCCCCGTCGCTACTCCCCTCCCTACGCGGCCGCGTCGCCACCCCTACACGGCCTCGTAGACGGCCCTACGCGGCCCCGTCGCCGCTCCCCTCCCTACGCGGCCCCGTCGCCGCCCCTAGCGGCCCCATCGCCGCCCCTAGCGGCCCCGTCGCCGCCCCTACCCGGCCCCGTCGCCGCCCCTAGCGGGCAGCTGAGCCGCCGAGCCGCCTAGCAGCAGCAGGCGCCCCTGGAGCAGCCGCCACTTCAGCAGCCGCCCCTGGAGCAGCCGCCCCTGCAGCAGCCGCCCCTGGAGCAGCCGCCCCTGGAGCAGTCGCCCCTGGAGCAGCCGCCACTATAGCAGCCGCCACTGCAGCAGCCGCCCCTGGAGCAGCCGCCACTAGATCAGCCGCCCTTGGAGCAGCCGCCACTGCAGCAGCCGCCCCTGCAGCAGTCGCCACTGCAGCAGCCGCCCCTGGAGCAGCCGCCACTACAGCAGCCGCCACTACAGCAGCCGCCCCTGCAGCAGCCGCCCCTGCAGCAGCCGCCCCTGGAGCAACCGCCACTGCAGCAGCCGCCCCTGGAGCAGCCGCCCCTGCAGCAGTCGCCCCTGGAGCAGACGCCACTGCAACAACCGCCCCTAGAGCAGCCGCCACTACTGTCAGAACATTATAGCTTATGCTGTTGTGTAGGCTATAGTGGGGTATCCCATAGGGGGTACAACCCAATTAGGGTTGGTACTTGTACTCACACATTTCATAGTTCATCCATTCACGTTCTTATTCTCACATGGAATCAGAGCAGGTCCCATCCTAGGGACTGTTCTCTAGGGCCCACCGAAGCGCGCCCCGAGGCGCGCGTCCTTTTTTTTCTCGCGACCCTCCGTGTCGCCCTTCCCCTCGCGGCCCCGCCGCCCTTCTCTCGGCCCCGCCGCCCTTCAGTTGCGGCCCCGCCGCCCTCTAGTCGCGGCCCCGCCGCCTCCTCCTCGCGGCCCCGCCGCTTCCTCGTCGCGGCCCCGCCGCCTCCTAGACGCGGCCCCGCCGCTTCCTCGTCGCGGCCCCGCCGCCTCCTCCTCACGGCCCCGCCGTTTCCTCGTCGCGGCCCCGCCGCCTCCTCGTCGCGGCCTCGCCGCTTCCTCGACGCGGCCCCGCCGCTTCCTCTTCGCGGCCCCGCCGCCTACTACCTGCGGCCCTACCGCCGCCTTACCTGCGGCTCACCGCCGCCCTACCTGCGGCCCTGCTGCCGCCCTACCTGTGGCCCACCCGCAACCCTACCAGCGGCCCACCAGCCGCCCTACCTGCGGCCCTACCGCCGCCCTACCTGCGGCTCTCTGCCGCCTTACCGGCGGCCGTCCCGCCGCCCTACCTGCGGCCCACCCGCCGCCCTACCTGCGGCCGTCCGCCGCCCTACCTGCGGCCGTCCCGCCGCCCTACCTGCGGCCCACCCGCCGCCCTACCTGCGGCCGTCCGCCGCCCTACCTGCGGCCTGCTCGCCGCCCTACCTACGGCCCACCCGCTGCCCTACCTGCGGCCCACCCGCCGCCCTACCAGCGGCCCAGCCGCCCTACCTACGCGGCCCAGCACCAGACGAGCCGCCCAGCGGCAGCCGAGCCGCCCAGCAGCAGCCGAGCCGCTCAGGAGCAGCCGAGCCGCCCAGGAGCCGCCGAGCCGCCCAGCAGCAGCCGAGCCGCCCAGCAGCAGCCGAGCCGCCCAGGAGCAGCCGAGCCGCCCAGGAGCCGCCGAGCCGCCCAGCAGCAGCCGAGCCGCCCAGCAGCAGCAGAGCCGCCCAGGAGCCGCCGAGCCGCCCTGCTACCGGACCGCCCGGCCTGTCCTGTCTGGTGAGCACGGCACCGCCCCACTGCTACTGAGTACCCTTCCCCGCTGCTTGCACTGCTAGTCTGTCGTCATGGCTACCCCCAGTGTCCTCGCTTTTGACGCTGAGGGTCGAGCCATTGACTTTGAGGTCTGGGTCGACGACCTGCAGTTGTTTTTACAGTGCGATAGAGCGGACGGTCTCTCTCTCTTTGACCTCACCTCTGGCGCCTCCCCTGCCCCTGCTGCTGATGCTGACCCCACTGTTCGGTCTCAGTGGGCCACTCGCGATGCTGCTGCACGTCTTGCTGTGCGTCGCCACTTGCCCACCACTGAGCGCGCGCACTTTAGTCAGTACAAGAGTGCTCAGACCTTGTACGACGCTGTAGTTGCGCGCTACTCTTCCCCTGCCACTGCTGCACTGAGCCGTCTCATGCTACCGTACCTCTTTCCTGACCTCACTGCCTTTCCCACTGTCGCTGACCTCGTTACGCACCTCCGCACTAGTGACACTCGCTACCGCGCCGCCCTTCCTGCTGAGTTCTGCGCC